CCATTCTTCATTCCTCTGTTATTCTATTCTATTCCTATTCTTTTTCTGTTCAATTCTGCATTCTATTCTTATTGTATTTTCTACTCTATTTTAATCTATTCTTATTATATTTCTACTCTATTTTAATCTATTCTATTTTGCATTTTTCTGCATCCTGTTCCATTCTTCATTCCTCTGTTATTCTATTCTATTCCTATTCTTTTTCTATTCTATTCTGCATTCTATTCTTATTGTATTTTCTACTCTGTTTTAATCTATTTGTATTTCTACTCTGTTTTAATCTATTCTATTTTGCATTTTTCTGCATCCTGTTCTATTCTTCATTCCTCTGTTATTCTATTCTGTTCCTATTCTTTTTCTATTCTATTCTGCATTCTGTTCTATTCATTCTATTATTCTTTTTTCTTTCTTTGCAGATGTGGGCCATCCTGATTACAGTGGTGGTAGTCCTTCTCATCATTATCATTCGTAAGTCTTTTAAACTGTCATGAAGCCCTCTGGCCGGAAGTACAGGCAGTCCTCACTTAACAACTGCCCCGTTTAGCAACGATTCACAATAGTTAACAATAGTGATGAGAAAAGGACCTTGGTGAATCAACAGTCACCTTTATGACCTTTGCAGTTCTGGTTAGCAAAGGATAGAAAGCTGTGGTATGATTGTAAACCGCTTCACTTAATGACCGAGTTGCTCATCCCAATTTGGTCACTAAACGAGCACTGCCTGTATTTCTTGGACCAGGGACCGCATTTCCCTAGGGTACTGTTCAGTCACTGAAAAACAATTCCCAGTTGTCTTGTGTATTTATTATTTATTTTGAATGCAATCCTTACATTGAGTGAAGATTGGGGTTCGCTACTTTTTTTTCCCCCTGCTGTGAGTTTTATACATTTGTGTATGTGTATATTGTGAGCTGCTCAGAATCACAAATGTGTTGTGAACTTCGGCAACTTCTAAGACATGTCGATCTCCCAAAATTCCCCAGCCTGCAATGTTGAAGTCCACCTGCGCCCCCCCACCTCTCTCTTTTATTTTTATTATTATTATTAACTCGCTCTGATGCTAAGGAGTTCCCTCCCCACCTGAAAAAAAGAAATCTCTTCCAAAGGCAAAACACAAGCAGAGGAGAGGCGTTTCCGTTTCACAGCACCAAGCAGCTTTAGTACAGAACAGTTGAGCTAAGCCACGCCCAGGCTCCTTGCTGTCTCTGCTCACACAGCAAATACTCTTTCAGGTTCCAAACAGCCCTCGACTCTCTCACACACTGACAAGACAGTAGCCAGATGAATACCAATGGATGCTGGTAGGCAGAGGCAGAATTTCCTCCCCCCCCCCCTTATTTTTCTCCCCAAAAACTAAGCCCCACCACATAGTTTCATAGTGAAGCACGGGGATCGAGCTAGTTGTATGTATACGTATATTAAATTTAATTTTAAAAATCATTTTTAAAAGCAATCGCACGCTATGGTTTTTGCTAATCTTTCTCTCTTCTTTGCAGTTTGGAGTGTGTATGGGTGACCAGCAGAAGATTAAAATCCTTGTTCAACCTCTAAAATTCTTCCATTTGACCTGCTCTGTTGCCAAGCTTTTCGTTAAGGGTGCACAAATCAATTTATTCGGGACTGCTGTGTTTGATAACTCTTTATAGTTTGAGTGACGGACAGCTCAGAAGTATGCAAGCTGCAGGAGAAAAAACTTCACGCCTCCATCTCGGTCACGTGCTAAAATGGTCATTTCTTTGACAAATTCATATTATTCCTGTCCCGGTTAGACTGTAAGGAACCGAGAATCAGTTCATACTTCTGTTTTCCTTAAATTAATCAATTTTTTTTTAAAAAAAAAAACCACAATTGTGACATAAAAGAACCACGATGCCTTCATTAAATCACCACAATTTACCGAGGGGAGCAAATGGGCAAACACTACTCTTTTTTAAGCCGGATTTTTTTTAGTGTCGCGCAGAGATTTGCACAATTGGGGCACTTAGAATAACCGAAAATCTGGACGTATTTTGGATGCAAATCTAAGTTGGGTGTCGTCTCATTACAGTGGAGTGCCTTGTTTGAACCCGAGTCGAACCGCTTATTGCACAGATTTAGTGGTTGTGATTTTTTTTCCGCAGCACCGTTGGAAGCCAAAAAAAAATAAATAAATCACAATGGCTTTTCGGAAGGATTAGGTTATTTTTTTGTAACCATTGTTGTGCATTGCCAATGTAGTCATTCTGTTCCAATGAGCCTTATTTCTTTATAGGTTCAAGTCGTGGCACGCTCACTTTTTCATTTTTGTATTTCGACAATTTAGCACCCCAAATAGCCACAAATACAGCAACAGCTGATCCCCATAAATTATTCGAGCTCTCTCGTCAGATTATTTTTCTACTTGCCTAAGAAAACCTAGTTATATTTCTGGTTGTTGTTGTTTTTTTTGCCCCACCCAATATTTTTGTATAGCTTGAAAATGCCACGGTTTGGAAACGCCGGAAAATAGGCATTTCCTGCTCGGGAAGTGTAGTCATTATTGTCATGTTTCCTACCCAGTTCTTAACCAAACGTGAATGGCTGTGTTTTTCTACTACTAACAAGCAATCTTGGTTCTTATCCAGCCAGGCAGAATAGTTTTCAACAGCCCGGTGAGTCAAGAAGCTGAACTTTTTATTGTAGCTATTTAATAAAGAGCGATTGTCAACCCGGTTTGGCGTTTTGCAATTCTTGGGGTTCGGTTGTCCTTGCGGGAGTCATCAATAGAAAAAAAAAAAAGAAGAAGTAGAAAATATTGCACAAACTAGCAAGGGCTGGCAGGGAGTCCTAATCTTCAATCAACCTGAAGGGACCTTGAAGGTCTTCTAGTCCAGCCCCCTGCTCAAGCAGGAGACCCTAGACCATTTTGAAGGATCAGAATAAAGCTGGAAGAGACTTTGGAGGTGTTTTAAGAAGAGACTGGACAACCTTTCATCTGAAATGGTTGAGGGTCTCCTGCTTGAGCAGGGGGTTGGACTAGAAGACCTCTGAGGTCCCCTCCAGCTCTCTTCTGTTCTGAAATCTTAGCAGACCTTTCCCTCTTCTGTGGGAGGAACCAACCCAATGAAGAGGGCGAACAGATGCGGGGTGCTCTCCAATGTGGAGCCCCCCCCACTCAAATCGAGGAGGAGGGGGGCATCCTACCTTCCAAGCTGACCGTCCTACCAGTGCTTTTACGTACGCACGCACGCACCCTCCCAAGGGTCGTTGTTGACCTGTTGCACAACGGCCCCTTTACTCGGCGCTCTTGAGATACGTTGTCGTGGGCAGCTTGCTTACAAAAACAGCCGCAATCAGGCCGGCCTGATGAAATTAGCTCAAGCCATTAGAGCATGACTCACTCGCTCGATCTGATGGTGGAGACGGCATCGCTGTGTCCCTCCGGCCCAATGATGACAAATTGGCTGCTTTGCTGTTTGCCTGGAAGGTTCTTGAATTGTGCAGGAGCCCTCAAGGTGAGATGGATGGGGAGCCCCTCTATGGGACGCCCAGAAGGGATATATGGCCAATCCTTAGCAAAGGGGGTGTGGGTGTCAGCTGGTATCAGCGTACTTGCTGGGTGTCACTGTTGCTTACGGGGTTTTCAACTCAAGAAAGAAAGTTTGGTCTAGTAGTTAAAGCACCAGATTAGGAGCCAGGTGAGTTCTAGTTTAGACTTTGGCATGAAAGCCGGCTGGGTGACTGGGCCAATCGCCAGAGACTGGGAGTTCTAGTTCCATCTTAGGCATGAAAGCCAGCTGGGTGACTTTGGGCCCTAAACCTGAACAGGAACCACAGGGGGGAAAAAGAAAGGAAAATAATTCTCTGCTTCCAATAATATGAGAGAAGATCTACAGAAGATTTTGTTGGACTACAACATTCATGTATTTTGTACACCTGCAGCGATATTCAGTAGAGATACATATTTTTCAACCAGTAGGTGGCAGTGTTTTGTTGCTTCCTTGCAGCAGTTAAGCAGGAAAGCACATGTTGACTGTGCACTGTCTATTCGGTAGGGCTACATACAGAATTTCTGACAGACTTATTAAATCCCATGCAAGCAACACAGGAGTTTTTGCCATCTTCAGTATGGCTTTATTTTCATCACGTGTGCGTTTCCAGAAATGATATGCAGGGATCTAGTTTATTGCTTGATCACATCATAAATTATAGGGCAAGGAACTGGAAGCGAGTGGGTTCCAAGCCGGTCAGACACAAAATTTCCAGAAGCAATGGGAGAAATTCCTACGTTTCGTGTACTGCTTCCTGGCTGATTCCCATAAACGTCTTGACAGCATGTTCTGGAAGAAGCTTCCAATCGGTGCCTGAAAGCAGGGAAAAAAAAATACAGGTATTTTCAACTTACGACCACACGGAGCCCAAAATTTACGTCGCTAAGTGAGGTTCCGCACCATTTCACGACTTTTCTTGCCATGTTTGTAAAGGGAATCCCTGCAGTCGTTCATCGAGTAACCCTGTTGTTAAGTGAATCGGGCTTCCCTATTTGAAGGTTGCAAAAGGGGGATTGTGTGACCCCAGGGACATTGCAACCGTCATAAACATGAGTCCGTTTGCCAAGTGCCCAAATTTTGATCCTGTGACCACGGGGATGTTGCAATGGTTGTTAAGTGTGAAAAATGGCCATAAGTCACATTTTTTCAGTACGATTGTAACTTCAGTCACTAAGTGGAATTGTTGTAAGTCGAGGACATTCATTAAGTGACCTGTCGTATCTCAAGGACTATTAATGGTGTGGTAACATCTTATAACACATATCAATCTCATGTTTATTTATACACATTCATATACATTTATCTATAATTTTCCTATCTCTAGTATCTTTATTTCAGTTATTCAACCCCTTGTACTAACTACCCCAAACTTCATAATACTCCGAGCCTTCTTTATCCTTTAATTTTAACGTATGTTTATCCATTTCAGCACAATCTAGATTTTTTTGGGGATTACTAGTTCCTCTGAGGGCGTGTTATTTTGCTTCCAACATTGTGCATCTGCTATCCTCGTTGCAGTCGGAATATGTAGTAAAATATAGTTAATCTTTTTCCTATGTTTCCTTTGAATTATTCCCAACAAGAACAGTTCCGGTTTAAATTCTATCTGATCATCCACTATTTCTTGTATCCAACTCACTTTTCCTGAATAAGTCTCCCCCCCCCCCCCCCCCAAAAAAAATAGTAAGTGGGTCCTGACACTCAGAACTGGAAATCTTCAGAGGCAGGAAATAAACCCTTTCAGAACTCACGTCTCTCTCTTCACCCACACAACCCTTCTTACCTCTTTAAAATGGCCCCTGGCATTGAAGCTGGAGGGAGCAGGACCTGCAGCGAAAACAAAACAAGACAGAATATTTGGGGTCCTACTGAATAAATAGGAACTGGCTGTGTGCGGCAGCAGCCAAAAAAAAATAAATCAATACGATCCTTGGTTGGGTAAACAGGGGCATAGTATCAAAATCAGGTAAAGTATTAGGACCGCTTTGTAAACCCTCATGCGTAGAATATTGCTGCATCCAGTAAACCCCCCAAAGAAAAGAAGAAGAAGAAGAAGAAGAAGAAGAAGAAGAAGAAGAAGAAGAAGGAGAAGAAGGAGAAGGAGGAGGAGGAGGAGGAGGAGGAGGAGGAGGAGGAGGAGGTTGGGACTTTGGAAAAAGTGCAGAGAAGAGCAATTAAGATTATTAAAAGGCCTGCAGACTAAAATAGCGGAAGACCGTTTGCCAGATTTGGGTTTGGCCAGTCTAGAGAAAAAAACGACTAGGAGGGACATAATAGCAAAATATTCCAGGATTTGAAGGGCCGCTACAAAGAAAAGGGGAGGTCAACTTATTTTCCAAAGCACCTGAAGGAGGACAAGAAGCGAAGGATGGGATTTTATCATGGAGAGAATCAACCTAGAATTAAGGAGGAATTTCCTAACAGAGAGGACAATGAACCCGTGGAACAGCTGGCCGCCAGAAGTTGTGGGTTGCTCCATCAGTGGAGGCTTTTAAGAAGAGATTGGACTGGAAGGGTCTAGGGTCTCCTGCTTGAGCAAGGGGTTGGACTAGAAGACCTCCAAGGTCCCTTCCAGCTCTATTCTGATTGATTTCTGTTGGAAATACAGAACCTGTTGGGTTAATCGTTCTCACTGTCGAGAAGTTTTTCCTTCGTTCCAAGTTGCTTCTCCCCACGAAACAATCCTCAAGAAAAGACAACGGTGCTTTAAGCTTTTTAGACGTGGAGAAGAGACGGGGTTTGTTGGGGTAAGATGGCACGGTTATTCAAGAAAAAGAATATATGCAGGGTTG